AGGGAGCTGGACTGGAAGTGGAGTAGCCAGGACTCAAACTTGTCCCCATATGGGATACTGGGGCTGCAGGCATAGGCTTAACCTAGTATCCCACAGCTCTGGCCCTGGTATTTATAATTTTTAATTTTTCACTTTTAAAAATCAATATATAAATTGTCATATATATATATAAATTATATAATGATATATAAATTTTATAAATTTTATTTTTGCAAAGAATCAAATATAATGTTAATGTTCTCTAAAATTTGTTTCCAATTTCATGGACTTCTGTTTTATATAATTTCCTAGTTTCTACTTATTTTGAGTTTACTTTTTTTTCCATCTTCTTAAGATGGGATCTTAGTTTTCTTGGTTTACTTGAATTTTCTTTCTTTTCAATACAAGACAATTTATTATTTTCATAGACTATTAACTATTTTATTTCTAATATTTTCCTTTAAGTCTTTTTAATATCTTTGGTTTGCTGCTAAGATTTATAATCCTTTGATTTATTACTAAGGTATTTTCTTTGTCTCTTTGAACTGATTATACTAACTACTTTAACATGTCTTGTGTGCTTACTCAACAGTTAATACACTATGGAATTGTTGACTTATTGCCCTTTCCTTTGAGGAAGTATACAATTTACGGATTCTGTGTACCTTGCATATATTTGGACAATGTCCTGAATTTATGGATTACGCAAATTGTTATGAAATTTCTGTGATATATTACTCCAGAACATGTTTTTATTATTTTCATTGTTATTTTTGTTGTTTGGGGGACAGTTTATTTAATTGGATTCACATTAAAATCTCTTTTGGCAACAGGTCGAATTTCAGGTCAACTATGTTATTCTTGGCTGACTTGCATTTATGTGGTTTAGAAATGCACCAGAAATTCAGGCGAAGTTCATTCTCAGAATCTCATCTACGCCTCTGTATGTGTATCTTCTTTCTTGGATATTCTTTTCATATCCTAGAAGTTGTGGTGTGCATAAAGTCTGTCCTCTTTTTCCTTAGGCCAAGATTATGAGCTTTCTATCAGAGTTTTAGCCACCAAGTGGAATACTAACTGTGCCTTGTCAGTAGATTAAAATTTTAAAATGAAGTGCTTGTATGATGTTATTTTCTATTTTTCTATGTCAATTTTGCTCAGATTCTCCCTGTTCTGTTTATATCCCAGTGACTTCAAGTAGTTGCCTTTGGTATTTTTGTCTAGACTCTATAGTTGGTTTCTGTCAGAAGGCCAGTAGTAGAATAGGAATTCAATGAGTATCATTGTAAATGGAACTCATGCCTATTTTTTAATGAAGTTGGAATCTCCAATGAACTACTTTCTATTTTAAGTTGGCCAGGATTTTCTTATATACTTTCATTTTTACCAGTTACATTTCATCCTTGGGATTGGAGAAAGAACATGACTTTCTTAAGCAAAATTGATTGTAAAATACGAGGGTTGGTTTAACCCTTGTTAAGGGACTATTGGAGAAACAGTCAATGCCCTCTGGGAGTCATTTCCTTCTAGGTTTAATGATTTTTCTGTTCCTTACTTGAGTTCAGAAAGAATGAATCAGATAATAGATGATCAATTTCAGAAAGCATAAGTATTAAGATAATTTCTAATGCGAATTTCTACTTAAAATGGAACTCAATGGCATCCATAGAATTGGCAAAATATCAGACAATTGATTTTTGATGCTCAACTTTAAAATTACATGATGTTAAAGTAGACATGTGGCACACAGAAAACTTGTCACTTGTAGTCTGTGGATGTGATAAATAATAAAGACTTCTTAAAAGTGGTCACACAGAAACAGAAACATTGTAGAAAGTAGAATATCGTTTATTCCTGAGATTCTTTGAAAATAGCAAAATTAAGTAAAGTGAAAATTGAGCCCTAAGTGTTGTTACAATTCTCCCAGGAAGGAAAACAAACTAACTCAGATTGAGCTTGAATAATATTGTTGGTGTTACTATGTGTGTGCAGAAGAAGAAATAATTCTGACAGAGAGCCCTGAAGGATAGTTTTAATCTATAATCGTTGAGTGGGATCTTACAAAATGATTGATTGTGGTAAGTGAATTAGAACAGGATACTGCCGCCTGAGAAGCGCTGTGAACTAATCCTGAAGGCATTGAGCTGCAGAGTTCAAATAACATGAATTAGTCCACTGTGACAACAGTACCACAGAAGTCTTAATGGACTATTGAGAAGTGAAAACGAACAATCATTGGGGGAAAAGATTGTAAAAATCCCTGAACAGATGTGTCTGAAATTAACAACCTTGAAATCTATTTGAGAAGTCACACATACATTCAATGTGAGACAACTTAAGTAATTGTTCAGAATAGAGTAGTTTAGAATAGAGCAGTCATCAAATAAGATCAAAGATGGTTGGGATAATCAAGAAGAGATATTAGAAGGAGGAAGAAGCTGAATTTTGCCTTGAGATTGTGAGAAGTGTTGAGAATTGTGATAAGAAAAGGCTGAATAGCCTAGACAGATGAACTTGGAAGGCGTATATGAATTTCAACAATCAAGTAAATAGATCTATAAATAAAAATGCAAACTCACCTTGAATTTGGAAAATTCTGAATATTCCAGGTGTAAACTGAAATAAAAAAGTTACTGGATTCCATTTGAACTTTGATGGCATTAATAATTTGCATGACTATTTCATATAATAGTAAGATGCCAATTATAATAGTAAGATGCCAATTAGAGTGTTTCTCATTATTAAATACAAGTATCTCAATTTCAGAAGTGTTGAAACATGAAAAACTATGTAAATAAGAAATAGTAAAATGTCTAAACCATAACAGAATTTGTTCTCTATTTTCTTTCATAAAACATTTAGCTTTTTTTGTTTTGTTATCTTCAAATAAACAGTTCAATCGAGAGTTACAGAAATGTTGACTTAAAATTTAATAGCTATCTAGGTAGTTGTTCAAATAATTTTGCCAAAACCTCAGCTAGAGTTGGATACAAGACATGTTAATCAAACAGCAGGCAGGAACAAAATGTTAACATTACAGTGTGCTTGGGAAATGATGGAATAAAAGCTACCAGTTTAACTCATTTGAATGATGCTTATATCATAGTATATGGAAAATTTTCATACTTTTGCTAAATTTCAACAATTCCATTCACCTGTACAGTTTCTTTAATACAAGGCAAGAAAAGTGATAGCCAATCACATTTTTCTTCTTTCAACTTCTCTATTACAGTCCATCCATTCAGAGAGTAATAACCATAAGAGACAAAAATGTTATACTGCAAGTTCCAGTTTCCAAATAAAAGCTATTCTCTCTATGATTCTGACATGTTTTTCCAAATATTTTCCTATAAATTGGTGAATTTCTGGGCTTAACTTTTACTTAATGGCTCCAATAGTCACACCATGTGCTATTTAGTTTGACAGTCCAGGCAAAAAATAGTTTGGTTATTTTTCTATCAACATAAAAAACAAAACCTCATTATATCTCTGGAAAGACAAAGTATTTCACAAGTTGTAATGCAGCCTCCGAGAGTTGAATAGCATTTTCATAGTTATTATTTTTGCTTTGTTTTTGCATTAATCCACAAGTTAATAATAATCTAGTAGATAGGTTTTACTTTCTCCTTGAGAAAATGATAAACACTGCCTTTTCTAAATAGATACAAACCAAAAAGAGCAGGTAATAGAAAATTAATAATTGAAAAATTATAAATAGATCTCATTAATTAGCTTCTGTCCAGGGCAAGCATACAGCCATGTGAATAAATATGCATATCAAAATTGAGAACTATATAGGAAACTGAGCCGTCTAATACATGAAACTTCATCTAAAGAATTGTGAAATCTTGACTATTCTCCCCAATTGTCAATTGCATATCTGTGTGACACTGAAGCTATTATAAATGGTTATCAATTATGTATCAGAAATGTGATCTACAAAACAAACATTGAACAATGATTTCTCTTTTTCATTGAAATGTTTAAAGACTGCAAAAGCCCAAAGTCAAGATACATGTATTATATTCTAGGCTAACATTATAAAACACTCCACATCAAAATATATAGGATTGTTTCTTCACTTCGGAAGTTTCAGTGTTATTTTATTGATTAAAAGACATGTAAGCATATGGTCTCACAACTTAGAAACAGATACAGATATATGATTTATTTGATTTGAAAGGGAAGTGCCAAATGTCATGTTTATGCTGTCCAATGCCATTCAATTTTTGCTAATTTTTAAAATACCAAGTGAAAAAGGCATATTGTACCTATTTGAAACCTGTTCGTAATTCCTAAAATTCTTTTTTGATCAAAAGGACACTTTTGTCATATTGCATTAATAATTAAATGTACTAACTTCATTTCTGTGGATTTTCATTTCGCTAGTGTATCGTCACATTAGAACATACACTAATTTGATGTTTTTGGAGATTTGCAATATAAAACTCAACTGAAAAATGCTTGTTGTGAAGAAAATAGATTATTGAATATAGAAGGTATACTGAAAAAGTGCAGTTGATGGATTTAATAGATTAGTCATTGCCAATGGTTCAATTTCTTTCTGACTTTAAAATTTGTCATATTTCATGGGTAGGGTTTTCCTCAGGTCAGGTGCCCTTCCATGGATTAAAAGAAGATCTGACAGATTCCAGTAGAAGAAGAAACATACCTTTCTTCAGTACTCTTTGTATGAGAGGTGAGGGGAGACAAGATATTTTGCCAGGGCCTGCCCTGTGGCTCACTAGGCTAATTCTCCGCCTGCGTCCCGGCACCCCCGGTTCTAGTCCCAGTCGGGGCACCGGATTCTGTCCCAGTTGCTCCTTTTCCAGTCCAACTCTCTGCTGTGGCCTGGGATAGCAGAGGAGGATGGCCCAAGTGCTTGGGCCCGCACCCTCATGGGAGACCAGGAGAAGCACCTGGCTCCTGGCTTAGGTTCGGCGCAGCCATTTCGGGGGGGTGAACCAATGGAAGGAAGACCTTTCTGTCTCTCTGTCTCACTAACTCTGCCTGTCAAAAAAAAAAAAAAAAGAAAAAAAAGAAAAAGATATTTTGCCAGAAGCTTCCAGCATTCTTGGATGTCTTAAAGTTCAGAACTGTTAATATGTTCGTTCTGAAATGGTGTAGTAGCATGCAAGATGGTCATGCATGTCCATTGAATCACATAACTACCATGGAAGATGCTAGGATACTAAATAAAATGATGCCCTGTAAGTAAGAAAAGGTGGACTGATTGTTGAGAGTGCATAACAAATGACAGAAAAAGAAAACAGGGAATTGACCTCAAACAGTTCAGATTGACAATTTTACTCTTAAAAGGTTTCAATATTTATCCAATGTGTCTTCTGGACCAAGTTAGGCAGTATCTTTACTAACATGGCATTTATTACAAACTGCTACAAAGCTTACTGCATTTTATTTTACATTGCCTTATTTTCTTCCGTATTGCTTTAACTTACTTACTTTGCATGCCTTAGCTCACCAATTAGGGCATTATTTCCTTCATTCTTTTGTTTCTCTTTCCTGACTCTCTCTTATTCATTCCTTGTATTCATAGTTCTTAATGTCAACTTGCCTAATTTGATACCCTAAAACTCTGATGGATCTTAAGGCTCCCTAAGCTTTTCTTAAGGAATGGGAGTAAGTTCTTCCCTGTGTTTAGCATCTTGCCAAGTTCACTGAGTTTTCCTATGAAATCCTTGCTGAAAACTGCATAAATGGGAGCAGCCAGATGGTGGCATCATAGGATGCTACCAAGGATGGATGGAAGTGCCCAGGGGTGAAAGAGATTGCTAATTTACATATTCAGGCAGTGCAAATTTTAATATTTTATAGTCTAAAATTTATCATGCAATGAGTCAATCTCGACTAAACAGATTCTTTACTACAAATATAATTCTAGGTACTTTGGTTATCCCTGTTTATAATAGTTTTTATAGAATATTTATTCTTGTCAACATTTACATCCTTGTCAAAAAACTTGTATTACATATCAAGACAGGATAATTAAGTTATTCATGTAACATTGCCCATAAAGGATTAAACTGCAAGATTTTTTTAATCTAAGGTGTCAAGTTGTACTCTTGATTTATGGAAGGTAAGGAGATTCCCTTACCATAAACATGTCCAGCAGTAAACTGATTTAAAAAATGCCAGATGAAATAAGAATTATGAAAAATTGACTTTTTCCTATAATGGAAAGGATAAAATTGGCTAAAGATAAAATAAGCATTCCTCATGAATTTATCTATCATCAGTGTAGAATCCAGTATATGATTATACTGAGTCCAATATGTGACTCAAGTTTGCTTTCAAATCCTGTAACTTGAAGATACTGGTCATCATCAGCCTTGTTGGAGGATATGGCCATCTTCAGACCCCATGCACAATGACACTTCTCAGAGCCAACTCTCCTGCTCCATGTCTCTGGCCTTGCTCATATATAGATGTTTTCCTCCAACACACGAATAATTATCCTTTTAAATGACACCTGGATACAGAGATGAAGGATTAGACAATTGGGAAAATGTCCCAGAAGTAGGATTGAAACATAAGCAGTACCAGCAGACTGTATCTTAGTCTATCTGGGATACTATGACAAACTGCTTGAAGTGACTTGCAAACAATAGGAATTTATTTCACAGAAGTCTAGAGACTGGGGAAATCCAAGATCCAGGCATGGGCAGATTTATTGTCTGGTGAGAAACCATGTCCCAGTTCATGGACTCCATCTTCTTGCTATATCTTTGCATGACCAAAGTGAACAATAAGCTCCTTCTTTTCTAAGGTTATTGATCACTTTCTTCTTTTTTTTTTTTTCGGACAGGCAGAGTTAGACAGAGAGAGAGAAGGAGAGACAGAGAGAAAAGTCTCCCTTTCCGTTGGTTCACCCACCAAATGGCCTCTACAGCCAGCGCTCTGCACCGATCCAAAGCAAGGAGCTAGGTGCTTCCTCCTGGTCTCCCATGGGGTGCAGGGTCCAAGCACTTGGGCCATCCTCCACTGCACTCCCGGGCCACAGCAGAGAGCTGGACTGGAAGAGGAGCAACTGGGACAGAATCCGGCACCCCAACCAGGACTAAACCCCAGGGTGCCGGTGCTGCAGGTGGAGGATTAGCCAAGTGAGCTGCGGCACCAGCCTGATCACTTTCAGAAGGACTGCACTTTCAACATCTAACCACTTTTTGAAGACATCATCTTTTAATACCATTACCTTCGAGCTTATGATTTCAATACATAAATTTGGGGGATACAAACAATCACACCTTGGGACAATATCTTCTATTGTGGTAGCTAAGTCTTCCTAATGGGGCTATTGCATTTAAAATCAATTAAAGTTACTGAAACACTATGTTTCTTTAGCTCGATTCTTTTATTATCTTGCTTTCCAATTCTGATACAGTGACCAGCATAGAAAAACATTCAAAAAATTTGCTGTTGTATGTTGTGAATACAAGAATTTCTGGGTCAGGAAAGCTGAAGAGTCAATATATAAAATATATTACACATTTCCATGAAATAAAGGTAATTTTTCTGGATAAATGCTTTATAGAACATCTTTTCTTCTTTTGGTGTACTGATTAATAACTATGTTCTTAAAAGGTAACAAGAGGCTGACCTTATGTGACTTACAGAGTTGCTATTATCCAAAGGCTAAAATTCATGACATTTTATACCAATTTATCCACAGGAAGTCAAAAGTATTGTTCATATGGATGCCTTGCTTTTTCGTACCAGTCACAGATAACTTATTCATCTGGAGTTGATATTTAAGATAGCTGTGCTTTTGTTTATGAAGCCTTTGGTTAATTTCTCTCTATATAAATAACTATGAAAATAGCTGAACATATTGTAGGATTTCAAAATTATTCCTAAAATGAACATATTTGAATGATTCAATTTTAATTGAGAATTCTACATAACTAAGAGGTACTCTTATAAGAATTTTAGTTCTGCCGAAACTATGATAATAACATTTAATTTTCTATTAAAGGGAGAAAAACCATGTTATTCCCTTGTATGATTAATCAATTCAATCTGAATAGTACATGGGAAAGTACTTAAGTATTAGCTTGTGCACAGTTCATGCTCAAAAAAAACTTTCAAAACACTAATTTTTTTGGTTATTTTCCTTTGTGATAGACCGAACAATGGATCCAATAGAGGTCTGCATCCTACTTGTTGAAACTTGCCAACTTGTGGCCTGATATGGCAGATAAAATTTTGAAGATGTGATGAAGCTGAGGATTGTGTGATGAAGACGTTCTCTCGAATTATCTATGTGGTCCCAGCACAGTCAGTCATGAAGTGTAAGGGTCTCTAGAAGTGGGAGAAGAGAAGGTCAAAGTCAGAGAAGGCTATGCAAGCCAAGCAGAGGGAAGCACAGCCACACAAGTGGATCTGAAGATGGAGGAAGGGGCCAGAGGCTTCTAGAAGCTGCAAAGGAGAGGAGACAGCATCTCCCCTACAGCCCTCCTTTGCACACTTTAATTTTAGTCCAATAAAATGCAGTTTCAGGTTTCTGAGCTCCAAAACTCTAAAGTTAAAAAATCTGAGTTCCTGGGGCCTGTAGCTCTGGCATCCTAAATGGGTGCAGGTTCAAGACCTGGCTGCTCCTCTTCTGATCCAGCTCTGCACTATGGCTTGGTAAAGCAGTGGAAGATGGCCCAAATATGTGGGCTCCTGCACCTGCATGGGAAACCTAGAAGAAGCTCCTGGCTCCTGGATCCTAGCTTCAGATTGGCTCAGCTCTGGCTGTTACAGCCATTTGGGAGGTGAACCAGAGAATGAAAGACCTTTCTTTCTCTCTGTAACTCTACCTCTCAAATGACTAAATAAAACTTTAAAAAAGACAGGGAAAAGACTACTCAACAGATCCAAAATTAAAAAAAAAAAAAACATAAATCTGAGTTCATTGAAATAGCTGGTAACTCATGATGGGGCAACAGGAAACTCATAGAATTCTCTGTCAATTTTAGAATTTCTAGGACAATTCTGAATTCTTCCACGTTGGGTGTCTTCTCTACCTGGGACTACAAATTTCAGCCTTTTCCCATCGAATCTATTCAGTCAAAAGAAGAGAAAGTAGAGGAAAGAAAAAGGAAAGGAGGGAGCAAGGATCAAAAAAAAAAAAAAAAGGAAGGGAAGAAGGAAGAAAGAAAAAAGCGAGAGAGGGAGGCAGGCAGAAAGGAAGGAGTTAACAAGAATAAGAGGGTGTAAGCTGGTTAGAGTGAGAGCTGTGATGAGCAGGTAACACACACTGAGACATTTTAGGGAGGAAAAGACAAGTGAGTCTGAAGTAATGTAAAAAACATCCATAATTGGCTAAGGAACAAGAGACACAAAATACTTGTGTTCTTGTTCGTCCAGGAAGAACAACAATGGCCAGAACCTTTCAGTCATTTCCAAGAAGCAAGTCAGTCTTCTGGTACAGAGGAGAGGCCCTGCCTTTGTTTCCAGGGGAGTTCTACCAGGGCTGAATATCACTGGATTCTTAACTCTTACTCTTAACCTTTCACGGTACTATTTTCTTCTGAGAGTAACAATGCCACTGAATGGTGAGTTACGGTGTTGAGGTGGATTCAGGAAACACTGTCAGAAATAAAGCACTTCTAAAGATCAGTGAGGAACCCAGGGCTTCAGGGTTTGTGGATTTCCCAGCCTCCGCACAAGACAACCAGTCCTGCTTCTTATCCACCAGGGGGCGACCTTTGGATGCCTTCTGTGCCTTGCATCAAGACCTGCACGCCATTAAAGTGGGTCATGGGCTGCAAATTTCCATTTCTCAAGAAAACATCAGATGTCTGCCCTTTGCTCGCCGATTGATGTCACTGAGTGCTTAATTGTGCTGTTTTCTTAAGAGGCAAACCCCTAGAGAAACAGGTAACACTGTAAATGAGTTTCCTCTCTTGCTTTTTCCTTTTTTTTCTTTTTTAACCTCTCTGATAAGCAGCTTTTCATAGAAAGAATGAGGAAATCTTGTTTAGATACACAACATTACTGAAGATGAACAGATTTTTAAGACATTAGAATAAGGAGGTTGGAGTCATATATTCTCCCTTATCTGTAAATTAAGATAGAAACATATAAAAATGTAAGCATAATAGTAGGGGATTTTATTTTTAGAACTGAAAGAAAATCCAACTCTTTTGTTTTTACTTCCCTTATGCTGTAATAATCCCCTTTCCTACAAAGAGCTGAGCCTTAAGATGACCCTGAGTCCTGAATCAGTTCACCTTTGTACTTCCTACTTTCTCTTTCATTGTCCAATACAGAACCACCAGGAGGATGTAAATACCTACTAGTTTGAAGAAGTACTTTTTGTAGTTGAACTGCTCTCCGCTGTCTGCCTGGTTCCTGGGGCTGACTTTGCATTGAGCTTTTCTATATATTTGGCAGACTTTGGAACATGTTCCTTACAGTTGGCTACATACAAGTAAATAAAATGAAGGGTGCCCCAATTCTATTTGTCAGGCTCTAAATCTATCCTTGCTCTCTTGTCTCAGTTAGTCATCCTTGTGAGTGAAACCAATCAAATTTCAGCAGATTAAAGTTAAAAGCATCTTTCATTGTTCCTGGGTCTGCAAGTGAGCTGGGCAGTTGTTTCGGAGTCAGTAGGGTTCAGGTGTGCAGCTGTGGTTAGCGGTGGGTGGGGAAAAGGAAAGGTGGGTCCACTGACCTTAGCTGGATTCTCACATTGTACAGAATCCATTGACTGCAGACAGGCTGCATGGCCTCAGCTGAGATAACTGGAATGTCTTCCATGCAGTCTCTCACCTCTTCAGGCCAGCCTGGATTTGTTCTCGTGGCAGTAACAGTTCCAACACAGTGGAAGCACATTACTCCACTGAAATAAAGCTTGAATCTGGCGCATTGTAACTTTCCCTGAGTTCTCTGGGCTACAAAATTGCAGAAGGTCTGCACTTTCCCCGCATTCTGTGGACTACGGAAGTCACAAGGTCTCCCTGAGGCAGGGAAGTAGACCCTGCCCCTTAAAGGGAGGGACAGCAAGAGGCCTCTAGGGGAGAGGCAGTGTGGAGTTACTTAAGAACTTTCACAGAAAATAGAGTTGAAAGATGAGTTTGGGGCAGGCATTTGGCCAAGAGGTTAGGATGCTGGTTAAGATTCCTGTATCTCACACTGCGGTGCTTCATCTTCAGCTTTGACTTCGACTTCAGCTTACTTCCAACATGGAGCCTGAGAAGTGCAGGGACAGCGCAAGTAGTTGGGTCCCCACCATCATCATGATTAACTTGGGCTGAGTTCTCAGCTCCCAGCTTTAACCCTGGCCCAGCACCGGCTGTTGTGGGCATTTGGCAGGGTTAAACAGTTGGTAGACAGCCCTCTCTCTTTCTCATTCTGCTTCTTAATAAATAAAAATAAAAATAAAGCTTATATTTATTTATATTTAGTATAATTATTAAAGATTTTTGGAATCTATAGGTATAAAAGATCTTTAAAAAGTTAATGAGGGCCCGGCGCTGTGGCATAGTGGGTAAAGCTGCCGCCTGCAGTGCCAGCATCCCATATGTGAGCAGGTTCGAGTCTCGGCTGCTACACTTCCAATCCAGCTCTCTGCTATGGCCTAGGAAAGCAGTAGAAGATGGCCCAAGTTCTTGGGCCCCTGCACCCATGTGGGAGACCTGGAAGAAGCTCCAGGCTCCTGGCTTTGGATCAGCACAGCTTTTGGCTTTGTGGCCAACTGGGGAGTGAACCAATGGATGGAAGACCTCTCTATCTCTCTTTCTCTCTCTCTCTCTCTCTCTCTCTGCCTCTCCTCTCTCTGTGTAACTCTTTCAAATAATAAACAAATAAATCTTTTAAAAAGAGTTAATGAAAAATTTATATTATGGATGATATGCATTGGTACACTTTTGAAATCAAACACATCCCTTTACATAGAAAAGCTAGTCTACACCCTGTTGTGGCCTTAACAAACACAATTGTCCTTAACTGGCCTCTGGCATTTGAATGCTGGGTTTGGTTCAATGGTTTAGACAATCCAGCTGTAAATCTTTGAAACATGAGCTACTATTTACCTTTTGATGTCCAGAGAGTGTTCCACATAGAGTACAAAATCTGCCTTTCATAGAGAAAATAATAAATAAGACAAATCCTAATGTGATTTCTACTTCTTCATTTTGTCAGAATATATTTTGCTTTCCTGGGCCTTTTAATCAAAATAGACAAACAAGTAAAAACTTCAGGATCTTCCTCATGCTAGTGATGAAATACACTCCTTTCTTAGTTTCCTAGTATTATTTACTTTCATAGTTTTTGCATGAGTGGTCTCTTCTAGACAGGAAAGTTTCACTACCTCATGTATGTTAATAACTCAGCAACTTCAATTAAGAAAGCGAGGAATTTATACAATAAGAAATTTCCATGAATTTTTCAACCTCAGGATCAAAAAAGGTTGTTTAGCACATAGAATACCTGTTCTCTGGAACTCAGCCATATCTTTATGTTTTTCACAAAAATTGCCATTATTCCTTTTTATAAGTGTGGATTTTCTTCTCAAAGACTTCAGGCGTACACTTCACTGGATATTTCAGAATGTTTTCAATAATGATGTCATACTGGGTCTGCTGGCCACCAGTTTCCATCCATAGCCTCCATAGCCTTTCTGTAACCCTCAGTGTAATTTTACACATGGACGGTTTCTAAAGGAGCAGCTAACTCTATATCACATTTGCATATTCAGTTCTTCAGAAATTTGCTATGTATCCCTCAGGGAAAAGTCTGTTGCTTTAAGTGTGGCCTCATATGGTGGCGCCATATAGTCTTCGGAGCAAAAGATATTTATGTGACATCTCACCTAAGGGATACCCAAGGAGTTCGTAAGGACAATCTTTATTCTCTTTGCTATCCTTTATTTTCAAATATTTATGCAAAATCTGATAGAAAAGACTTGGTTTCATTACAATGCATTCTTGCTGATAGATGGTAAAGGGCCTCTGGGTTTTTCTTTAGTGTTGGTTAATTATGGACACAGCACACAGAAAGATTCAGCTAACCAATTGGGATATTTTTGATAAAGGTTCTTAATCATATAAAAGCTCACTTCAGAATTTCCCTTAAGTGGTCAAGGGCTCTTGCTCTTTTATGAGGCAATAATCCTGTATCTTAGTGGCCAAACAATAAAAATCAGCTACAATGCGTGTTAGGATTCCTTGTCCCTGCAGGCCCATTTCCCAAAACTTTAATTTCTCAAGAGATAAAGTATTGAAGTTATTCCTGCCAGAGGCACACACATCCCTCAATTTAAGCTCTATCTTGAATCCCTGCTCGCTTTTCTGTCCTTGAAAGCAATTGTGGGCAATCTTCATTCCTCTTTGTTGAGTTACTACTTAGAAATACGCATCCAGCATTGACTCCACAGGACCTGACTTACTGCTCTGGTAATGAGAATTCTCTTTCTCATAATTCTGGCTATCCAGTTTTGTCTTGATACATGCCAGGGAGGAAATTTGGATTGGATCTCTGAGAGTGTCGCTGACTTGCAAGCCTAGCCTTAGGGTGAAATTTTGAGAGATGTATTCCAAGGGGAGTAAAACCTCTCCTTCATACTTGCCTTAATTCTCCCTAAGAGTTCTTTTAATTTATTTTGGATAGGGCTCTTTGTTGTTGTTGTTGTTGTTGTTGTGTGTGTGTGTGTTTGTGAGAGAGAGATAGTGCCAGGAGATGTAAAAGCTTAACCGTCTGCAGTTCCACGTGTGGTGCTGACTGTAGGAGATCAGCTCTCCAGGGTTCAGACTTGCTCCTAATTCCTTCCAGACTCTTCAGCACAGAACTTCCAGGGCGCGCCAGGTGGGCCAGCTGCCTCCTTCACTTGCACACTGTATCAGTTACTCTAGGTTGCCAACTTTTTATGTTTTGATTTGCAAAATGATCCCATCTACTTTCTTGCAGGCGGAATTTTATTTAGCTTTCTTTCTCTCCTGACGTCACCACCTACCACCCCCAGCTGGCACACTCACTTTCTCATTGTAGGTTTATACTTGGAATACTCTACTGTAAAAACTTAAATGGAGAGAAGATAGGTTTGCATTACCCAGAATTAAAATACAAGACACCACCAGTTGAATGATAAATTTAGGTAAAAACAATTTATTATTATTGTTGTTGTAGTTGTATGTAGCACGCAGTATTTGGGATGTGTTTATGCTAAACACAAAAGGTTTTTTGGTGCCTGTGCTGTCATGTAGTGGATGAATTTCTGCCTGTGAAAATGGCATTCCAATGGTTGCCAGTTCAAGTCAGTGCTGCTCCACTTCCAATCCAGCTCCCTGCCAATGTGCCAGGGAAGGCAGCAGAAAGTGGCCTAAGTATTTGGGCCCCTTTACCTATGCTTGGCCTGACCTAACCCTGGCAAGTGTGGCCATTTTGGGAGTGAGCAAGAAGATGGAAAATCTCTCTGTCTCTCTTTCTGTAACTCTGACTTTCAAATAAAAAAAATCTTTAAAAAAGTTTTGTTTAATTGAAATTAAAGTGTAATTGGACATCTTACAGATGTCCTGTAGTGGGGATCCATATCCCCACATTGCAACTGCATGTTTCGCTGTTACCCTTAAGTAGGATAGGTTTGTGATGCTTCGTTTATTTATCTTGCAGGCTAAAGTACCAAGAAAATACGAGAACGGGCTCAGGGTAATTTTGAATTCCTCATAATCTTTTCATTTTAGTGGTAGTTCTTCAGTTACATTCATTATCACCTTGTTAAAGTAAAATATAACATGAAGCTGCTCAAAATGACCTTTCTTTAGCCTTTTTCTGAGACAGTAATAACCTCAAGGCTAAAATCCACAAACTTATAGGACTATATTTATTGGTATTTGCACAGAACCCATTTTGAAGGTCAGACTCAGTAGAAATAATCTGTTCGTAGCTCAAGTAATTTTTTCAAAGGGGTAAAATAGGATTTTCTTTTCTTTTCCATTATTTTAATTACTCTGTAACATTTTCCTTTTTCTCTCATGAAGCCTTGTTCATTGGAGTGAGTAGAAATGATATATGTGAATGGCCCTGCTTCATTGTCAAAAAATACAATAGATGAGACAGACAGTTAGCCATGCTATTTATTTACTGTCAGGAAAAAAATAAAATTGAATTAAGCATTCTCAAAACAACTCCTCACTTTGGGTGCCCCATCTCATTCATCCAACTTATATACATTTTACAAACAACTACTTAAGGATTTAATTTATCTTTGAATTGGACTTTCAAAATTTTAGTTCACAGGGACACCTTAAATTTTTGTTGCTTGCTGTTTGACGAGCTCTGAGTATTAATGAATTCTGTAGTTGGTTAGCTATTTTGCAGTTGGTGCTGTGTTCAATAACTAAAGGTAGTTCATCTTTTGGTTACTTGACTTTTCATTTGTTCTGGAGTGAAGTTATTGCCACAGGCAGGTTGGTGCTGAAAATTGGTCACTGACTTGCTTGTTTAAAATGAAGTCAGAATTAGTTTTAGGTGATGATTTTAACTCTCTTCACAAATTCCTGGGCTTTGGGGGAGTAGCATCTGTCTACAAATCTCCTTCCCCGTATGAAGACACCAGTCATTGGATTAGAACCACCAAAGTCATGAATGACCCCATTTTAACTTGATGGCATATGCTAAGATTCTATTTTCAAATAAGGACTTATTTATTGGAAGTCTGGGTTTAGGATTTCCACATATGCTTTTGGGGATTGCTGCCACAGAGATATCTGAGAAGATACAAGCTAAATGGGATTTTAATTGATGTTTAGATATCAAGATAGTTAATTTGTTAAATCTCTACTTTTTGACTAATTGGCTATGTATTTTTTTTTTATTGAGAAAGTGAGAGAGAAATAGAAAGAGTGAGATAGCAAGTGAGCTACCACTGTTTCACTGCCCAAAAGTTTGCAGCAGCTGGGACTGGGACAAGGCCAAAGTTGGGAACTGGAAACTAAATCTAGTTCTCCCACGTGAGTGACAAGAATGTAATCACTTTAGCTAGCAACATGGCTTCCCAGTATCTGCATTAGCAGGGAGCTGGGATTGAATCCAGGGACTCTGCTGCTGGATGTGGGCATTTTAACCACTAGATCAAATGCCTGCTCCTTATGTAAATACCAATGTGAACATTAAAAATATTACAGTTTGCTTAGTTTAGCAAAATAAGCTCTTTGGTTAATACATTTACAAGACATAATTTTTTCATTAAACCAAATAAAACTAAATTAAAAGTAAGATATGTGTTTGTGATTGAATCAATCAAGAAAAGAAAGACTTGAAAAAATATTCACTTGTTATATTAAATCACAATTAACTTAACAACCTCAATTTTCAGAATACTGTTTTTTTATATTCTTTTTAAATTATAATTTCACTGAATCTTATTTGAAATTCCAAAAATTCAGTCCTGATGATTGTTTTTTTTTTAGTGTGCTGCTAACAAATCAGTGTGTTTGAAAAGTGTGTGTGTGTGTATTAGCTATATAAGAAATGCCACATATACTGAGCTGTATATGTAGAGAGAACATGAGTTGGCGACTCGATCCATGTTCCTGGGCTTATGAGTAGCTAGTGTGACATTTGAAAAATGATCTCAATGGAGAGTTTTGTTTTGTTTTCCAGGCCCTATTGTATGTGATGCTGTAGTCCAAGGTGAAGGTGTCATCACTTCAATTTCATCTTTTGTCCCAGAGACAATTTTTGCTTCACTTACCCCCACTGACACTGGAATAGATTCAGAGATGTTTTATTCATGAATTTAGATCTTGTGAATATAGCTCCCAATACACCAGAGAGACAAAAATATCGCTACAATTGCGCTTAAACTAATCCGTAGTTGTGTAACAAATTGACACATAAATTAAATTTTCACTGCTTATGCCTGCTTCACTATGTAGTTATACTTCAATATGGAATCCTGGTAAAGTCATTAGTTTAGCTTAGATTTGCTCATCAAAGATCTCTGAAAATTGGAAAATAGAAGGACTCCTTTGCTTAACATATGTCACACTCAGGGAAGATTAAAGTTAAATCTGCAGTTATGAGCTGATTCTTTTGCATTTTACTGAATTTTATCAGCTGCTGGATCCTTTACCTTTTTTTTACCCCTAGAGAATTGATTTATCCTATCATGGGCATGTCTCCATCTCTTATACTTATACTTATACTTATTCTCCTATGCATTTCCTTACTCTTTATTGCGAAGTCATCTTCCTGTTGAAGAACTTTCTCTTTTCCATAGGATTGATCTTTAGGTGGTGAGGGAGTCCTCACTGAAATGCGAGTTAGGAAAATCACACGCTTTCATCTTTGGTTTCATCTTCTGAAAGAAAGAAGAATTGAGCTATTTCACCAGCTCTTGTGAACTGTTCGAATTTCCTCTGGGGAGAAAAAGTCATTGCTTTCAAAGCTCTGAGGAGTCTCCAAAAATGCTCCCAGGCTCTCAAAAGTAAATAAAAGGAAATGTGAACTTTCAAAGGCTGCTCTGGGGTCCAAAGATAAAGTTTTAGACATTGTGCAAATCATTGAAACAAAAGCCAATGGAAAATA